GAGACCAAGCAGGTACTCAGAACTCCAGAGGCCACACAGGTACGTGGATCCCAAGAAGCAACATTGGCACCCAAAACACCAAAGGTCATACAGACCCCCAAAACCTCAGTGGAGACACCTTACTGGCCCTGGAAACTCACTGGTCACCTGAACCCCAGGCCACTCAGTCCAGAAGATCAGAGAAGAAACAGAAGCCAAGGAAAAAACCATCCATCGAACTCAGAAATCAACAAACCAAACAATCCAATTAAAAGATGGAGTGCAGATTTAAACAGAGGATTCTCAACAGAGTAAACTTAAATGGCTCAGAATCACTTAAAGAAATGTTTAACATCCTTAGCTATCAGGGAAATGGAAATCAAAATGACACTGACATTCCATCTTATACCTGTCAGAATGGCTAAGGTCAAAAACACAAGTGCCACTCATGCTGGCAAGGATGTGGAGAAAGGGGACCAGCCTTCTATTGCTGGTGGGTGTGCAAACTTTTACAGTCATTTTGGAAATCAATATGGCAGTCTCTCAGAAAATTGAGGCTTCATCTACCTCAAGACCCAGTATACCATTCTTGGGTATATATCCAAAGGAAACTTTACCATATCACAAGGACAATTGCTCAGCTATGTTCCTAGCAACTTTATTCATAATACCCAGAAACTGAAAACAACCTAGATGTCCCTCAAGTGAAGAACTGATGCAGGAAATGTGGTACATTTACATAATGGAGTATCACCAGGCTGTTAAAAGCAATGACATCATGAAATTTGCTGGCAAATGGATAGAAGTAGAAAAGATAGTTCTGAGTAAGGTAGCCCAGACCCAGAAGACAAACATGGCATGTACTCACTCAGAAGTGGACATTAGCTGTAAGGTAAAAGGTAAACATGCTATAATCAACAAACCCAGAGAAACTAAGTAACAGGGAAGGCTCAAGGCAGGGGAAAACACGAATCTCATTGTGATGGATAATAGAATAGACAGTGCTAGTGGTAAGGGGGAGTGGTCTGGATAGGGGTGGGTGTGGTGAGAATAGGAATGATCAGGTGAGATAGGATAAAGGGAAGAGTACTGTAAGAGACAGCTGGAATTGGGGTGTGTGGAGGGCATCCTTGGGGCAAGCTAGAAACCTGGTGGGTGCAATGGAAACTCCCAGGAAGCTATGAGGGTGATCCTAGCTAAGACTCCTAGCAGTGGGGGATATGGAGCATGAACCAGCCATCTCCTGTCACCAGACAAGACTTCCAGTGGAGGGACTGAAACAACAACCCAGAAACAAAACCTTCAACCTATCTGTCTTTTCTATGAGATGTGCTGGGATAAAGGTGGCAAGAAATTGTGGGAATGGTCAACCAATGACTGGTTCAACCTGAGACCCATACTATGAGAGGAAGCCCTCCCCTGACACTTCCCAGAAGGTCAGGGCCCACAGGCTGGATAGCCCAGAGATCTATGATAGAACCAAATACAACTGGCAAAAAAGAAAAAAAAAGTCAATTAAATGGTTCTTAATGATATTCTGCTATACTCAGAGACTGGTGCCTAGCCCAACTGTCATCAGAGAGGTTTCACCCAGCAACAGATAGAAATAGATATAAAGACCCACAGCCAAATAGACAGAGCTTGGGGAATTGTGAAGAACAGGGGGAGAAAGGATTGTAGGAGTCAGAGGGACCAACTAACCTGGGCTCATAAGGGACTCACAGACACTGAACTGCTAAGCAGGAAGCCTGCATGGGACTCACCCAGGCCCTCTGCAAATATATTACAGTTGTGTAACTTGGTCTATTTGTATAACTCCTAACAGTAGAAACGGGCTATCTCTGATTCTGTCGCCTGTATCCAGACCCTTACCTCCTACACGGATGCCTCAATTAGCCTTAATAGGAGAAGAGGTGACTATTCTTGTGGCAACTTGATATACCATAGCTGGTTAGTATACCTGGGAGGCCTGCCCTTTGTTGAAGAGAAAAAAGGATGAATGGACAGGGGTTTGGTGGGTGTAAGGACAGAAAGGAGAAGAGGAGGGCGGGAAAACTAGTTGGGATGGGAAAAATAAATAAATAGAAAAAAGTGAATAAATAAAAAAAAGTAATTTACTAATACACTTGCCTAGGAATATTAAGTTATACAAACTAGAATTTAGCTAAATGATCACTACCTCCAATATAACTGAAAGATAAGTAGTGTATTCACCATATTTGTTAGAAACCTTGAGAAAGAAAAGTCTGTACCATAGTTGAAAGGGGGCTTGCTGAAAAGGTTTCTGCTAATGTTTATTCACCAAGATTGACCTCCAATTAGGCTGCTTTCTCATGGCAAAAGGAGACAATTATCCTGACCTCCAACAGGCCATTAGGTGCATTCCCATATCAAAGGACAAGCCTCTAGTAGGCAGCTCAAGAGGTCACAAACATCTTTAAATCCTGTTCTGCCATTAAGTCCCCAGTGCTTTATTCAGGTGGGCATGAAAAGTGAAGTAAAAGTTATTTCAGGGAGGGGGAGGGCAGAAGGGAGGGAGGGAGAGAGGCAGACAGACACACAGAGAGGGGGAAGGAGGGAAGAAGAGAGGGAGGCAGACAGAGAGAGAGAGAGAGGAAGGGAAGGAGAGAGAGAGAGAGAGAGAGAGAGAGAGAGAGAGAGAGAGAGAGAGAGAGAGAGACCCAGAACTGGTGTATTTAAGAAATTGTTCTGGCAATATCTTTGCAATAAAAATCTCTCAACTGCCTAAAAGTGGAAGGACTTACATTCACCTGTCTCTGTTTAAACTGTTAAAAGTGTGACTTGGGGTGGGGACCTGAGAAATTTAAGGATGACAGTGAATGTGGATTGCCCAAGCCTCAGGCATACATAGTAAAATCTTCTATTCAAGGCTAGCTTTGAGCAGTAGACAGGGCCAGATAAGTACCATTGAAGAACCTTGCCTTCTTTAATCTCTAACTATAGGTAGTGGTTTCTATAATATTACTAATATTTTGATGTGAAACAATTGTCATTGTGTTGCTATGACAAAATTTCCTTACTTTTGGAGATGGAAAGTTTTAATGTTAAAAAGCCGCAATGCCTGTTTCTGGAGTCTAGTAAAATAAACAGCAGAGAACTGGAGTTTTGGCTCAGCTGGTAGAGTGCTTCATTCATGAAGCCCTGGGATTGGTCACCTATACTGTAAAACACAAATGTGGTGGCATGTGCTTTCAGTCTAGGCAGGTGGAAGGACAGTTGAGAAGACCCGAAGTTCAAGGGTCTTTTTTCTCCCCCTTCCTCTTCCTCCCATATTTTCATCTCCTGGAGAAAAAAAAATGTTATCAGTAGAAGCTCTCTAGAATATGCTCTCTGGAATTCTGTGACCTAGAGTAAGAGTTTAACCTCTTTAGGATTTTCAGTCCTTTATAGATAAAGTAGGATTAATGATGTCATATCTTAGGATTGAACAAACTATGTGAGGCTTTTTATATGAAAAGCACTTAAAACATGGTATGGCATAACACATACCTACTCTGTTCATCTGTGGATTATGTGTTCTCAAATAGATTTTTTTAGTAATTCCATGAGAATTTCATAACTAATGCCATTCCCAGGCATTGTTTAGATGGTGAAATATTAAAGACTGGTTCCTCTTATCCTTAATGGTCTTTCTTTTTCTAGTGTTATTTGGCACTGTTAAAGTTTTGGATGTTTTATTTAAATTATTCATTTGTTTGAAAGATACAGAGGACATACTTCTTCAAACAAAACTCAAATAGTAACCTAGGTTCCTAACTATCACTTTAGATAAGCTTTCTTGAGTTCTTGTTGATATCTTTTTACAACTTTGTTTCCACATTTAACTAGCTCCTTTTCTACCTGTTTTCCCATAGTTTACCATCCTCACCTCTATCTTAAAGGAGGTCCAGATTTTAGCATCAAGGTAAGTAGACTATATTTTTGAAATCCTTAGCTTTACAAGGAACTGATGTTTGCAATTGAATTGTGTCTCTGTTCCAAGCTGTGGGCTTGGACACATCAGCCCTTAAGCTGGAGGAGATACTTTCACCTAAGGCAAAATCTACATAGGACCCACTTCCCATGCAGTTGTGGAAGTTAGCAAGCCGAGATCATTTCTGGCACATTATTTTCTTGAGATTTCTTGAAGTGTGTCTATACATACTATTTTTACATTATAACCATAGTAGACTCAGCCATTCTATGTTCTGAGTCACATGGTGATGTCTGCTTAGACACTGCCTCCTTGTATAGTGGGAATATTATATCACTGAAACATTCTCAGACACTTTTATTCTTTCTGTTATGGTAGATGGGTATGGGGAGCACAGTTGTTAAACGATTTCATCTATATTAAATAAGCGTTTAATTTTTTAAAATTACTATGATGTCTGAAACAAAAAGGAGAAAAAGCGACATAGACTGATGCTTGTTTCGAAAATTGATTCGTGACAAGCGTATTTGGTCTGTCACCTCGATCCTGGATCCTGAGTTGTCCTAATTCCCATCTTCCTGCTGATTCAGCAGGCCGCAAAGGACCCTCTGCCGCGATAGATGGCGCTGCAGAACCAAGAGTCTTGACTTCTCCGCCCTAGCCTTGATGATGAGGCAATCAGAGTTCAGCTTCCTGCCTCCATCCCGAAGTAGGTGGTTCCCGAGTGCCCAACTCAAGGCTGCACAGTAGCAGGTTCCTGGCTTTTCGCGCGTTTTTCAAGCCCCGCCCAGTCATATCTTTTTGGGTTCTGTGCCACTTTGAGACAACTCTAACCCCAGATAGACAAATCTGGAAAGTAGAACTGACATCGACCCCTTGCGCAGCCTGGTTGGTCTTGCCTTGGATCTCACAAACTAGGGATGAGAGGGCAAGGTGGCCAGGATGGGAGGTGGGGGGTGGATTTAGAATAGGGGTGTCGCACGGCTGGCGATTGGCTCCGCGGAGGCTGTGTTCCACCTCACAAGCTTCGCAGAAGCCCAATCCACGAGTTGCCAGCCCCTAAAGAGGCGCCATTAGTTACTTAGTTACGCGCGCTTTTTTTTTTTTTTTTCTTTCCTTTTCTGGCAGTGAGGCAGTTTTGTGAATGGAGGTAAGCGTCCTGCCGCTACAGAAGCATGAGTGACAGTTGAATTTGCAGAAAACTCAGCTCTTTGTGAGGATTTGTCTCCTCACCTCCTGGCCGACCTGAAGCCTGGTAGGACTTGCGGGCAGTGGGACGACACAGACAGAAAAGCCTCCAGCATTTTTAGTTCAGAAAGTGTCGGGGGGGGGGGGGGAGTGAGGGCAGTTCCTTTTGGGTGGTGTCTGAAGTTCTTGGGTGAGTTAAAGAACAAAGCCAAAGAGAAAAGATGTAAAGGTGTTTTTTGTTTGTTTGTTTGTTTTTCCCAGTGCTCAAGAAATAAGGCCTCTAGAAAAGAAAAAAAAAAAAAAACAAAAACAAAAAATTGGTATCTGTAAAATCCACTGTTCTTTTTTCTGAAAATGCCTCCTAAAATGAACCAACCCGCGTTTGTGAGCTGCAAATAGTCATCATAAATGTGGTTTCCTGTCTGTGCTTCTCCCCAGTATAACAATGTAGGGAGTAGCTGGCAGAAACTACCTTCTTTCTCAGGCAAGGTCAGCATGCTCCAGTGGTCCAGTCACATGTACTGGCCTAGCAGGTCCCTGAGTAACTCGACTCTGAGTTAACTATGTTACCTGTTAACATCATCACAAACGCACCAGGCAGTAGTAATGTTCTTCCAGGAATTACAACGTTGCAAGTCCCTTTGATATTTCAGTCGTTTTCTCAAAGATACAGCTACTGTCTTTAGTAGAAAATATCAAAGATATTTCTTTGTAGCCCTGACCTCAAAATCTTAGGTTTAGTATACCCACAGTCCTCATCTGTTACCATATCCTTACCATTCCTCCACATTATAGTCCAAGTTACACTGTAGTTTATAATACGGGATCCCTTTGTCTCTCCTCAACCTAGCTCTTCTACTGCAGCAAGACCAAACAGTTGTTAAGTAGCTATCACCTCCATGGCAATAAGTTTAGTTTGGTTTTATCAACAGGTTTCTGGGAGGCTACATTGGACATTATCAACCTCCAGCTACAACAAGTGTGTATGTACTCTGTCCCCAAAGGTAAGAAAGGCATTATTGTGTTAGATTTTTTTCAGTGTGTTTTTGTTGTTTCATGAGTTCTTAATTTTCTTCCTACAGGTAAAGGTACCTTTTAATACATCCTTCTATTACCAGATTTTGAAATGTCTGTATGTTTATTTAAAAATTTCTTTGAGGCCATTCCCAGGCAGCAGAGAAACATTTGTCTTTAAAAAATTGTAAAGGTGATATGTGTACCATATTAATATTTGATGTGAACAAACTGGCATTGTTATTATGAGAAAAAAAAACTCCTGAACTTTTAGAGATGGAAAGTGATATGGTTATAGTCTCAGTGTCTCTGAGTGTAATCGATAAAATTAAAAGTGAGTGTGGGGTTCAGGGTGTTGTCCATTGGTAGCTTTCTTGCCCAGCACATGAAGCCCTGGTTTGGACCCTAAGCATCATATGAACCTGACATGGTGCCACATAATTGTAATGCTAACACTTGGGAGGCAGGAAGATTAGAAGTTCAGTTTTCAAGGCCAGCCTTAGCAACATAAGACATTTTCTGAAGAAGAAGGAGGAGGAGGAGGAAGAGGAGGAGAAGAAGAAGAAACAATAAATTATGGGAATGGTGTTTAGAAATTCACTGTAACTAATTCTTTTCTCTGTTTGTATCCCCTTTCTGTTCTGTCCATTTCTATTGGAAAGTATTCACACATGCGCGCGCGCGCGCACACACACACACACACACACACACACACACACAATCAAAGTAACAAACAACACCCCTCACTAACAAAATAAACTCTAAAGTAGATATTATGTTTCCTGATTATCACTTTAGAAAAACTTCAAGATTTTTTTTTCCCCACATGTCCTTCTAAATTTCTTTCATTCTCAGGGTACTAACCAGTTTTTTCCTGCCTATCCCCCTGTATTTTAATCATCCTTCCATGCCCTCCTTAAGTGAAGACCAGATTTTAACATCAATGTGAATTTAAACACTCTGCTGGGCTCCCCAATTGCAACCCTATGTTGGGATTTGCATCTGCTCTTGGCTGTTTACTCTGGTTCCTGACACACAGTACCTTGCTTTGATTGCTGGTGGCTCTGCTTGATGTACAAACTTTGCTGTGAAGTTATCACCCTATGAGAAGCAAGACTGAACAGAGGGGAAAGGTGGGGTGTGGGTCCTCAGGAAATACTTCCCTCTATACAGTATACATCGTCTATGAAGATACTTGAAACAATTTTCAATTAGCAATTCATCTGAGCTACCTGTTTCATGTCTAATCCATCAGGCATATCTCACAGAAGGTCCTAGTTCATGCAAAGAAAAAATATGGAGACCCTGCACTATTTTTCTCAGGTATGTCTACAAATACTGCACATTCATAGCAGACTTAGCCACCCTAGGCCCTAGGTCACAAGGTTCTTCCTGCCAAGAAGCCATCTTATTGTGTATTGGGAGTATTACAGACTTTTCTTGTCCACTTTCTTCTTTCTAGTTTGGAGGATGGTACTGAAGGAGGGAATCGTAGAACAGATGTCATCTGTGTCAAAGTAGCCTTTAATTAACAACAAAAACCAAAAAAAAAAAAAAAAAAAAAAAAAAGTCAATGAAACAATAAAGAAAAACAGATCAGATGCATTTTGTTAGATTAAACTGGGAAAAAGCAAAGTTCCCTAGCATGGAACTATCTTTCTGAGTGTGTCAGATTTATTTAATTCTAAGAATCTGTCTGCATAGTGCTTTGTAGTTTATAGAATGACTGTAATTCATTCTTACTATAACCCTGTTAGGCATGTGAGAAGGACTTGCTTCTAAAACCTCTGTTGCATGTGTGGATCTGTGAGGTCTCCTCCCCGACTCAGTGACATGACTATAAAGGGCTCCCTGATTGGAGCAGAAGGCTGAGAAACTTAGATCAGCCCCTCCCCCCAACCCCTTCTCTGTTGTTTTCTAAGAATGCACAAGCTCATAACCACATCCACATCCACAACCTCTTCTTTTCTCTCATATGCACCAGGCCAGGCATGATGGCATGTGCCTGTAATCTGAGAACTCTGAACAGAGAAGGGAGGGGATCATAATGAGGACAGCCTGGGGTACAGTGTCTTAACAATCAAAACAGAACTCTTAGATACATATCTAGGGCTTCTGCCATGGCTGAGGGAATGAAAGCATTGAGGTGCAAACCTAACCTCCTGATTTAGATACCTGGAATGTAAGAAGAGAATTGACTCCACACATTTGTTCTTTCCCCTCCAAATTAGGGGCACAGCATGCTTCAGGCCTACATTCACACACTAATGGTGGTTTTAGGTGTCTCTGTTGAATAGTCGAAGGTGCATCCTAGCTCTTTCAAGTGGTGAGACGTGAATGTTTTTCGGTGTGTTTAGACTGAAAAGACATTCTTTGAGACTTCCCACACAAGCATCTTTAAATTTGTATCACCATATGTTGTTTTGCTTTAACCAGGGTATCAGTGATGTTACTCAAGGTGACAGGCTTAGTTTTCACCATGCTCCACCACTGTCGTTCCCTTTGTCATGGGTGACATCATTGGTATGTGAACCGTACCTGTTACACCAACAGTGAAATTGAACCTTTCAGACATGGGAATCAGATGCCTTAATTTTTAAATCATTTTCTCAGTTTTGATAACTTCCCTTTAGCTCCTTCCCTCTTCCCATTCTTGGTTTTAAGATAATGTCTCATAACATGGATGTTCTGAATACAAATTTGCAGAACAGAACACATAGTCTAATGGAAAATATATTAGACTGGGCTTCAGAAACTCACTTCCTTATTGGTTACCCTGTGATTAAGAAAGGCACTTAGCCGAAGTCCTGGTGAGCTCATAGGGACGACACAGCAAGCACAGGGCCAGCATGGGTCTGCATCAGGCCCTCTTTATATACCACTGCTTCCGGCTTAGTGTTTGCAAGGGATTCCTGAGTGTGCCAATGAGTAGGTCTCTGATTCTTGTGCCTCCTCTTAGGCTGTCTTCCTTCTGTTTGTTGTATTCAATTCTGATGTGTTGATCTTTGTTCCATCTTCTTGTGTTATTTTTAAAATGCGAAAAAGAACTTAGAAAATGAACATTACATACTTGATCTTCTCATCTACTGGACAGTGGCATTTTTGTTGTTGTTGCTCCTGCATATTTCATGGTGTTTGAGAACTGACATGAAAAAAAGCAAATCGTGTGAGTGTTTTTGTGGTAGATGCTGGTTAAACCAAGTTATCGAGGATCCATGAATATTGTGTACTTGAGGCCAACCTGGGCTACAGATCTAGGTCCACAGTAGCCATGGCTATTCAGTGAGACCCTGCCTCTCAGTTGTGTGTATATATGTGCAAAGAAATTACAAAAGAATTCTAAGCAATGTGTTGTGCTTAAAAATTTTAATCTACCATTTAAAATAATAAACAAGATGCAAATGAGACACTTTCTATTGGAACTGGTAGATTTTGAGACATCGGGATGAGTTATGCTCCTTCTGCCTGCTTATTGAGAAAATATGACATGTATTATACACAAAAATATCAGGGATACAGTTTTAGCCAGTTTTCTAAAGTGTCTATTATTTCTCTTTAGGTTCCAAAAGAACAAAATGATCCCATAATTTCTCAAATGAAAATGGAATGTAGACAAAGACCAAAGGAGGTGACCATGGACCAGGAACAAAGATCACATTTGGAACTAAAAACTCCACAAGTTCAGAACTCTCCCCAAAATAGGAATATTACCATCACTTTTGGTATAAACCATGCAACCCATGAGATCACAGATGAGGAGACAGCTAGTTTATATACAGCAATGAATACCCTTGACCCTGTCAAAAGAGAGATAGAAAGACAGCGAGGCAAAGAAATGCTGGTGTGTGGCATAAAAGGAATAGAAGGCTACATAAACCTTGGCATGCCCCTCCGTTGTTTTCCAGAAGGCAGCCATGTGCTCATTACATTTTCCAAAACTGAAAGTGAGGAGAAAGAAAATAATTATCGCTTTGACTACTCACCTGCTGAGTGTGTTATATTTTACATACATGCAGTTGGGAACAGGGAACAAAGGATTCTGAGAGGTAGGGAACTTCACCAGGAGGGGACCAAACTCTGTGTTTATGGCTTCAAAGGAGAGACCATCAAGGCCACTCTGAGGAAGGATGGCAGGTTTGATTCCTTTGTAGAGCATGCCCATTGGAAACTCATTAACCATGACACCATCATAGAAAACACCCAGCCAGTTGATGTGTTACAGGGCAAGCTCTTTCAGATTGATGTCGAGAGAAAGGAGAGCCCTTGGGTGGCAACGGCAACTCAGCAATCTGAGGTGGAGGGCAGAAACTTCGAGTTAAAAGGATACATTGCGAATTTGTACCCCACATTGAAAAGAGAACGGGAAAAACTGAGAGCATACATCAAGGAAGAAAGTGAGAAAAGAAAGGAAACCTCTTTATTCAAAGCACATAGAGAAAACTTCAGGAAGGTGACTCAAATCTCCACCCCAGGTAAAATCTTCAAACTCCTTTCACAGCTCAGTGACTCAGTTGGGCTCATAGTTTGGAACAACAGTGGGAACAGGGGTAGTGCTACTTGCTTCCTTTTTAAAGGACTGTACATTTTCACTTGCCGGCATGTAATAAATGACATTGTAGGGGAAGGCATAGAGCCAAGTAAGTGGGCAGATATAATTGGTGAGTGTATAAGAGTGACATTTGATTTTCATGTGTTCCCTGCAAAGGAAGACAGCTATTGTTCTGTTGAACCTTGGTTTGAGGTGTCTGATGTAACTCTTGACTATGCTGTCCTGAAACTGAAGAAAAGTGGACAGCACATTCCTATAGGACTCTGTAATGGAACACCTTCTGGATCACTTAGTGAGTTTATATATATGATAGGTCACCCAGAAGGAAAGTATAAGGTTATTGATGGTTGTACTGTGATACCTCAAGATGAGCAAAAGAGGAAATGTGAGGCCATTCAGGGAAGAGAAGCAATGGGTGGCAGTGATCCTACACCATATATCTATATGTATACCCAAAGAAGTTTCCAGGAAAAAATCAGTGAACCTGGTTTGGTTACCATGGATAACACTTTATATTGTGGGTCTTCTGGGTCTCCTATATTTGATGCTAAAGGGTCACTTGTAGCCATGCACACTGCTGGCTTCATTTGTGAGTATGCAAGTGGTGTTTCCAGTGTCGTTGAATTGGGCTCTTCAATAAAACACATCTTTGATGATATTAAACAAAAACATGAAAGATGGTACAATGAAATTTGTGTATTCAACAGGAAATACTGAGTCTAGAACACTGAGGACTGAGAATTCAGTCAGTTTTGTACTATTAAGGCAGTTGCTTCTGTATTGTTTTTCTGTAGGCACTGACAATATTTTTACTAACCTTTAAATGCTGTTTTCTTTCATAAACAATTGATGTCTTAGTCTAGTTCCTGTATATACCACCCATTTTTAATTGAAAACAATTATTTTTGTACAGTATATTTTGATCATGGCTTCCTCTCCCCCAATTTCTTCCAGATCGTCCTGGTCTTCCCACCCACCCAAATCTGTGCCATAATTTTTCTCTCTCTTATAACACTCATCTAAAAAAATAAAATAACATGAAACAAAACAAAACAGAATAGGACCAAACAGAAAAAGAGAGAGAAAAAAAAACGCAGAGGAACACACATTAACATACAAATTAATAGTATAAAAAGTATAAAGCACATAACACCCAGCTATAAGCAAATGCATACCATATTTGTCTCTTCATGTCTGTGTTACCTGAGGGTGACTTTGTTCTAGCTCTATTCACTTACCTGCAAATTTCATGATTTGAAGATTTTTTTTTAACAGCTCAATGACATTCTATTTGGAAATATAGCACATTTTCTTCCTCCATTCAACTGTTGATGAACATTTAAGCTGTTTCCAACTGATCATGGTCGATCAAGTGTTTCTGTAGTAGTATATAGAGTTCTTCAGGTGTATGCCCAGAAGTGGTACAGCCAGATCCTGAAGTAGACTTATTCCCAGCTTCCTAAGGAACCTCCATTACATTTTTTCTTAGGGCCTGAACAACCTTGCACTCCCACCAGCAAGGAATAAGTGTTTCCCTTACACCATATCCTCACTAGAACGAGCTGTCATTTGCTTTATTGATCTTGGCCATTCTGACTGGATTAAGATGAAATCTCAAAGCAGTTTTGATTTGTATTTCCCTGATGACTAAGAGTGTTGGCTATTTGAATTTCTTTTGAAAATTCTCCACTTAGATATGTACTCCATTTTTAAATGGGTTATCTGTTTTCTTGATATACAGGTTTTTTTTTTTTAAGTTTAGACATAGATATAGATATGAACCCTTTATCTGATGTAGTTTCTAAAATCTTTTTCCATTCTGTAGCCTCCTCCTTTGTCCAAATGATGGTGTCCTTTGCTATATAGAAGTTTTTTAAGTTTAATGAGGTCTCATTTATTAATTATTGTTCTTAGTATATGTGCTATTACTGTCATGTTCAGGAAGTCTTTTCTTGTACCAATGAGTTCTTTACTATTCGCCTCAGTATCTCTGTCTTTATGTTAAGGAGGTTGATCCATTTGGAGCTGAGTTTTGTTCAGGTTGATAAATATGGATCTATTTGCATTTTTCTACATAGATACATCCAGTATCACTAACAGTATTTTTTGACAATGCTGTATTTTCTCCAGTGTATATTTCTAGCTTATTTATAAAAACAAAAACAAAAACCAGGTGCTCATAAGTGTGTGGACTTTAATTCTATCCCATTTATCAGCATGTCTGATTTTATGCCAATACCATGTCATGTCATCTTTATTACTATAGCTCTATAGTACAGGCATAGTGGTCAGGCATAGTGATATCCTAAGTTCTTTTATTAGTCAGGAGTGTTTTTATTATCCTGGAGTTTCTTTTGTTTGTTTTTCCTGGTTTTGTTTGTTTGTTGTTGTTGTTGTTTTCCATATGAAGCTGAAAACTGCTCCCTAAATTGCTTTTGGTTATACTGTTTTTTCTGGGGTGGGGGGTTGTCATTGTTAATTTTTTTATATCACAGAAACAGAATGGAACCTAACTCTAACACCCAGACATTCACCTCTTGAGTAAACTCATCAGCAGTATTGTTCTGCTTAGTTATGAACTAACCTAGTTGATTACTAAACAAAGCTATCTGTCTCCAACCATCAACTGCTTAAAGGGTTCTAAAGTATTCATCTTCATAGGAAAAATGTCAGAGGTGACAGTGGAGATTTAGTAAGGAAAGAGAAGTTGGCAGTAAAATGGTGAGGCATTGGTTAGTTTGAAATAATTGTTATCAATTCCAGGCAGTGTATTTTGACCATATTTATTCCTATTTGTCCCAGATCCACTCCCATCTTTCCACCTACCCAACTCTGGTCTCTTCTCTTTTTATATTTAGTAATCCACAGATTCCCACCTTTTCTGCCCATATACTTCTAAATGTGGGGCCACTCACTGGAGTGTGGTTTGCTTACCAAAAGCCACACCCAGAAAACTGACCCTGACTCTCCTAGAAGCCATCAACTCTCCGTAGCTCCATAGTTAGGATTGGGGCAGGGATCAGTTAATTCTGACAGATTCTTGGGTTTACTTACTAACTATCAATACCTGTCTTAGTTGGGGTTTCTATCGCTATGCTAAAACACCATGAGCAAAAACAGCTTGGGGAGGAAAGGGTTTATTTCAGCTTATAGCTTGTAGACCATCATTCAGGAAAGTCAAGGCAATAACCTGGTGGTGGGAATTGAAGCAGAAGCCAGGAGGGAATGCTGCTGACTGACTTACTTATTCTCAAGGCTTGCTCAGCTTGCTTTCTTTATAATTCAGAACTACTTGCCTAAAGGTGCCATTCCCTGCAACAGGCTGGGTCTCCCAGTATCAAAAGTTAATTAAGAAATATTTCAATAAATGAGTCCTGGAAGTACAGTAATAATTTCTGAAACAGAAACATCTACATGAGCATCAATGTTGTTGATATAAAGACACCAGTGGTAAATATGCACGTGTGTTATTTTGTACCTGGATGGAAAATAACATCAACTAGATAATGTGCCCAGGCTGTTTTTGTTTGTTTGTTTCTTTTTTTTTTTTTTTTTTTTTTTGCTTTTCTTTTCATGTGTATGGAGTATATTTTGTCTGCACATATGTCTATAAAAAGCCAAAAGGGGACATCATATCTTCTGGCACTGGAGTTACATACGATTGGGAGCTGTCATGTAGATCCTGGAAATTGCCAGGTCCTCTTGAAGAGCAGGCAGTGAGTACTTTTAATTAATGGGCCATATCTCCAACCCAGTTTTCTCTTGCTTTTAATTTTATACATGCCATTTCTTTCTAAACATGCTTGAGCCAGGGCCTCTTCCCAACAAGGAGATTCTTCATACATTTAGAGCACAATTAATCAAATTTTATTAACTTCTCAAAGCACACATACTTTCTTTCCTTTGACACCCTGATTTCATAAATGATTTTGAAAGTTTTCACACCTTAAGTTTCACTGTGCACTGTAAATTTCTACTGGATTTAGCAAGTGGGTAAAGTCACACATTGGTCCTTAGATTGCCATACAGAAGTTTGGCTGCCCTAAAAGCCTGTGATTTGTCTGTCTCATTTCTCCCTTTTGAACCAGTGTGAACCAAAGATTTATTGTGCTCACAATTTCATCTATTCCAGAGTGCCATATTATACAGAATCATATACTATGTAACCTGTTGGGACTGACTCATGACTTCTATATTTTGTTCTTTGACAGCTCATTTCTGTTTGTCATTGATAAATGTTGGATGAATTTATCACTTAAAAAGATTTACTCACCTTTTAAGAACCTCATAGTTGCTGTGGTTATTAATAAAAACGCTAAAGATCTCCGTGTTTTGGTTATCTTGACGATATATATCAATACTAATGACTAAATACCAGTTAAAGGATGTGGTTGATGGATTCGACACTAAAACAATATTTAACTTTGCAAAAATCTGCCAAACTTTCAAAGTACTTGTAATTTTGCATTTCTTATTCTCAACAAAAGACATACTATTCCAACCTCCTCCACCAATTTGGCATTATCATCTTCCAGGTTGTGGTTTGTGTGATTGATTTGTACTTGAGGTAATCAATATAACTGGGATGTCTGGAAATCTTCAAGGATTACCAGGGTTTCATTTGTTTGTTTTGTTTTGAAGAAATTGAGAATGTTTGGGGTGAGATGGGATGTAATAGGGCTAATAGGGCTACTACAGATACTCTAGGCATTAGGGGCTCTTTGAGGAGGAGAGGGGTAGAAGATATTTCTAAACTGCAGCTGGAGAGTGTCAGCCCAAAGCAGAAGAGGGAGAAAAGACCCTGACAGAAGTGAAGATGTCTGAGGACTTGCTGTGACTTCTTACCATGACACTGACCACTTATGGAGCAATCACAACTACATTACTTATAAGTAAGATATTGTAATGCTGTGTCTCATGTCCCTGACTCGAGTAATAATGTCCACCACTAGGTTTCCACTTTCCAAGATGCCCATACATGTTTTTCGTTGGCAAATGTTAGCCCCAAAAATACAGGAATCTGGGGAAAATACTCTGTATTTTGAGGACTACTATTGCTTATAGATAAGAAGACCTTATGTGTTACATGCACACAAACACATAATCATAAATTATCATTTTTAATGTGTTGGTGACAGAGATTACAACATCTTACAACTTTACTAGCCACTGATGCTAAACCATTTATGGATTCTCTATCCCACAAGTAATGCTCTTTAAAAAAATCCAACTGTCAATGTTTTTTGTCCAGCTAAAATAGGTGACTTTTCATCTGTCCTGTTTAACAGATGCTGCCATCATAGAAAAGTATGCTTAAGAGTGTCATATTACAGACTTTGATGATCACCCATGGGAAGCAACACCTGATGGGAGATGCCATTGTGTATATTTGTTTCTCATACTGGTTAATGAATAAAGCACTGTTGGCCAATAGGAAAGGAAGATAGGAGGGACTAGGAGACAAGGAGGAAAGAGGAAGGGGTAAGGAGGGGTCAAGATGGAGAGTCGGGAGAAGGCAGAACCACCAGCCGCCTCTTGCTGGTAAGACCATGTGGAAATACATAGAAATGGGTTGATACTTAAGACAGAGCTAGCCGATAAGAAACAAGTAATGGGCCAACAGAATTATATCAAATACAGAGTCTCTGTGCATTATTGGGGCTGGCGCAGCAGCGGGACAAGACCAGGCGGCGGGCGGAAAAACATTACTCCTTTACAGTGGAGTGGGGTGATGGTGGAGGGAGTGGGACCATGGGAGGGAGAGGGAACTGGGATTGATATGTAAAATAAGATTGTTTTTTATTTAATTTTAAAATTTAATTTAAAATTAATTTTCAAAATGTCATTAAAATTGGGCACAGGTATAAAAATTTTTCCTTTTCTACAATAAACTACCATATTTCCATTTTTGCTTATATTCTCTGTAGACATTCCAAGTGAGACAAAGACATTTCTATTTTCTCTTGATTCGTTTTATTAATGAGTTAATTTTTTGAGGCAGGATTTCGGGTATTCCAAGCTAGTTTCAATCTTTCCATAATTACAAGGTTGACCTTGAATTACCTTATATCTCTGTGTATGTGTAGCTGTGTCTGTGTGGCATGGGTGTATATCTTTGGGTGTGTGCATATGTACGTGATTGAGCATATATGTCTATGTGGGCACAGATGTGTTGTGAGTGTGTGGAGGTCATATGCCAGCATCAGGTGTCTCACTCATTTATTTTTCACCTTAATTTTTGAGTCTGTTTCTCTCACAGGACCTGGAGATTACTGATTTGGCCAGACTGACTGTCCAGCAAGCCCCAAGATTGTGCCTCTTTGGCTTCCTCAATGCTAGAATTACAGACAAGTTCGGAATCAACTGGGTTTCCCTGTGTACTAATTATTCAATCTGCTGTTATACTCATGCAGTGAACACTTTCTGGACTGAACCATTTCTCCACCCTTGGAACTGCTGCTTCCTCACTTCCACAAGTTCTTGAAGCTCTGACCCCCTTGACTTCCTCCCCCAAGTGCTAGGAATATGCCATCATATCAGGTGTGTGAGGGGCCAGGAACCAAACCAAAACTCAGAGCATGCTAGGTAAGCATTCTACCAAGTGGACTTCATAGTCAGCTCTCCAAAGGATGTATTCAATTCTTCAACTTACAAAAATTTGGTTTCTTCATGACATTTTCATACATAGTTTTGGCTCATTCGGCCTACCATCCACTCCTCCTCCCACCCATCTCACTTTATGTCCCTCCTACTCCCAGAATTCCTCCTTCCACTTTGATGTCTTTTCCCAAAGATCTCCTTGATCATCTCCCTCAAAGTCTTTCTGGATCTTCTCTGGCCCCTCCATCTCAAGGACCCCCTTTCTAGTTCCTGCATCTAACCATGATTACCTCCACCCAAATTTACATCCAAAGCTTTCAGTGTGACCTTTTGGTCAGTTTTAATTTCTGTCATCATTCTTTCCTAAACATTCATTTTCACTACTCCCCATAGTGTCTGTCATACTTTCATCTCATCTGTGTTAAAAAATAACAGGTAGAATTTTGAATTCAGAATTTGAAAATTAAGCATGAGTTAAAATTCTTTTTTATGACTTACAAAAGAGTATAGCACAGCACTCGGAAGGCAGAGGCAGGTGGGTCTCTGAGTTCAAGGCCAGTCTCATCTACAAAGCTACACAGAGAAACCCTGTCTTGAAAAATTATATATCTACATATGCATATGTATACACATTCATACATATATATGACGTGCAATGTTGTAGGTACTTCAGTGTAGTAATTCAGTATTCATATATGTGAAAGTCAGAGTCCAGCTTCTTCGAGAAAAGGATGTGTGATGAGGAAGCAATCTCACAATCATACCAATGGGTCAGGGACAATGCTTTACTGGGGGGCAGCTATGGTGTGTCTAAGAACCCACAGAAGGTGGAAGGACTGAGAGCAATGGTGTGGGAAGGTTGAGAGCAGATACCACTCGTCAGCAATTGCACTGATTCTCCAGAACTGAGTTTCATGCTGGAAATATTCATACAGTTGGTAGTAGAGAACAAACTAACAACGCTTTCCCACAATTCCATTTATTCTTCAGATAGCCAGCAGAAATGATGTCAACAAGCATGAAGCAGTCCTTGAAGTTTGGGATTCAAATATGGATAATGATGAACAATATTGATTCACATTTGCCTGAAATGAAAGCTTCATCTACTTAGAGCACACTGTACTTGCAGCCTATGGTGAAGCTGTTGGGTCTCCACTCAGCCCCAAGATCGAGTAACACTTGGTGTAGAGAATTATTTTAATATGATTGATGTTGTTCATGGACACAATTCAAGGGCGCATATATATATATATATATATATATATATATATATATATATCTGAGGATGTCTCTGAAGTGGTTGTTCCAAGTGTTCCAAGGTTCTCAGTTTAAAGGAACCTTTGGTTATCGAAGATCAAATGCCTACTTTGCAGTGGCTCTGGGAGGAGGGTAAAGATACTGGAGGATGAAGGAATTTCGTAAAAAGGAAGTATATTTTGTATCTACGCCTGAGAAGCGAGACTATCAAAAAGCTCTGCAAAGTTGGCCAACTGTGGTCTGACCTAAGTGAACTCAAATGGATACTATCATAATTAGCTTTAGTTGTCAAGTTGACCTAAACCTAAAGTCATCTTGAAAAAGTGGAAAACTACTGATGAGTTTTCCAGATCAGACTGGCCTGCCGCCATATCTGTGAAGCATTTTCTTAGTTCTTATTGATGTATAAGGGGAGAGGCACTGTGTGTAGACCCATCCATAGGTAAGTGGATCTGGATTGTATAAGGAAGGAAGCTGAACAGGCCAGTAAACAGCGCTCATGTGTTTTCTCCCATGAGCCCTTGTTTTGAGTTCCTACCTTGGCTTCTCTTGATGCTGGATTGCAACCTATAAAGTGAAATAAACTCTTTCTCCCACAAGTTGCTTCTGGTCAGAGTGGTTTATTGCAGCAATGGAAAAGCTAACTAGGCTCAATGGTAAGAGGATTTACAGCTTTGTTAGAAACTCAGTATGATTCACAGCAAGCAGCTCACAGATGTCTGTAACTTCACTTCCAGGGGATCCAACATCCTCTTCTGTCCTCCTCCAGGACACTAGGCATGCATGGGCTGCACAAACATATGTACAGGCAAACATACATATAGAGACAATAAAAATAAATATTCTATAAAAATCTATCATGCTAAAAGTAATTGGAAATCCATGTACAGGTTCAGTAAATCAAACAGCTCTTGAAAAAAATATACATACATACATATAGATATATGTATATATATGTGTGTATATATATATGTATGTATATATATACACATATATCTATATGACCAGATGATCCTGTCCTGTGTTTCATGAAAGACAGAAAGAAAGAAAGAAAAAGAATCCAATGAATGAAAAGTATGGAGATTGCAGCTCAGTGGTAGAGTTCTTAACTCACATGCACAAGGGCCTGAGTATATTTCTAGAATCTTGGGGAAAAAGAAGGGGGGAGAAGAGAGGGAAAGAAAAATGGGAGTAATGGTCCTGCTGTGATTCTGAAATGGTGGACAAGTAGCTCTTGGATGCAAGGGAGACTGTCCCACATCAGGTATGTATAGCTTGATGAGCTAAGATGCCTGATAAATCAACAGCCACCAGGACCACTCCAAACCCATGTCTTCTAAACTTAAGAAGGGAATTTCATAGCCCAAGGGAGGATGGTTTGTAGAAAGAAGATGAAATATAGGATTAGAGGAAGAAGGAAAGAACACAGATATCCCAGGAAATAGGACATGATAAAACTATTATTCTAGGGGCTGGCAGAAACTGTGGTGAGCCAAAGAGGGTATTCAGCCCAGTCAGCCTAACCACAAGGTGTCCAAGTGCCTATTAGTTCAATCATGAAGTCAGTGTGCCTTCCAGCCAGTGGGGCTTGCATTGAGGTTATGTAAATGAAGCAGGAAGGTAACAAAATGCCAGAACAAGAACTGTGGTGCTTTCCTGGCATTTCTGGCATCTAGCCAGGACAGAATCAAGGACTTACCCAGTTTCTATACAAGAACTGAGGTCCCTATCCCTCAAATGCCTGTTCAGCGACTATTGGCCATTCTCATCAACTGTTTTACACCAAGGTTAGGAAGATACCCCAGGCCATTAGCAAGACAAGCAAAGAATTCCATGCTTCCACTTGTCTGCTTTTACACAAAGAAAGTTTCTGTCAGGGGTTTGCAGTGTGCACACATCCACATAAAACTTTTTACTATAGTGGATCTTCATGTTCTCCAGTGTAGAAATCTGGAAGGTTTCCTGCTGATATATGATTGGGTACATTTATAAATGTCAAGATAGACTTCATGCCTTTACTGACTGTGGCTGGTCTATGTACTCCATTCTTTTCAATATTAAATAGAAAAAAAAAATGAAAGCTTAGTTAATATGTTGACTGAAGACACAAAAGACAGTCACCATAAGTAGAAAACTAACAAGAAGACTTCATTTCAAACTCACAACACTGATCCAGGGACTATTAAAAAAAAAAGATATTGACAGATGAGCCTGATAGCACAAATTGGTAATCAGTTACTCCGGAAGCTAATGAGGGAGAATCACAAGTTCCAAGCCAGCCTGAGCTCCAGAGTATGCTAAAGGCCAACCTTGAAGTTCTGTCCCCAAATCGGAAATTTTAAGTGGGGTGGGGATGTGATTCAGCAGTAGAACATTTACCTAGCATACACAAGGTGTTGAGATTAATCCCTACTGAAAAGTACATATGAGAATTCAAGACAATAGTTAAGATGTTCTCACTGGTTTTTTAAATTAGAAAACATCTCAATCCTTACTTAAAATGCTCAGTCCATGTACTGTGTACCTTACAAAACCACTTAAATTTCCTATTTTAGATGCTTAGGGTGATGCATTATCACAACTGCCAGAGAGAGTCTTACTTTCTGGTAAGATTCCAATGTCCTTTGGTAATCTGTGTTTTCTTCCTTTCTTATCATTTATGGCACCAGCTTCTACCATCAGTAGAAGGAGAATGTTGGGTTTCTGCTCTTTGCCCTCAGCTCAGCAACTACTAACCCTTCTCTGGCAGGTAAGAAAAGTCACCCACTCTGGGCCACATTCTTCTCATGATGTTCATCGTTTTGAATACCAAAGGCTGAATCTCAGGCAACTAATTTCTTAATCTAAATTGGATTCGTCTACAGTTCCATACTGTATGAAAGGCAGAAACAAAGTGCAGGCCATCTTGCTTCTACTCCATTTCCAGGAAAGCTAAGCCACAGAAAGGTGAATGTGTAGAAACCACAGTATAGATTACGTCAGTGTCCATGTGTAGCAGTCAGCTTCATGGGTAACCAGAGTCCTAGCAGCAGCAGCTCATCAGGGTTGGAGGATCTGGCATTTTCTTTGATGCTATAAGTATGCTACTTTGATAAAAATCTGGTTCCTAGTACAGCTTCCTGACTCTCGAGTTCTTGAACTTAATGATTCTACTGCTGCCATGAGAACCCACTGATGTTTGCATCCTAAACATTTTCTGCGCAGGGTCCTTCATTTTGTGTTCCGGACTTGGACAGTTAACAGCTAGTTGGACTGTCTCAGTATGCACATGTTTCTTTATGAAAGAATCATATATCAGGCTCATGGATCTCGTTTGCATACTCTAGATTTTCCTGTCTATCACAAATTACACAGGAATCACTGACTGCTGAATTTCTTTAAAAATGGATTTTAAACAAGAGTTCTTAACTTCTCTTACACACACACATACAATTTTCTGTTTCACAGAAATTCCAGCTGACCAAGATAATTAGTTTATTTTTCCAAGCAGCTTAAATCACAGTCCTCAACATGGACCAGATGCCTGTTTGATTGGTAGATAGCTCTTTGAAAGCTTCATCCTTGAGGACAAACTTTCATGGAATCAGATGTCATGTAAACTTCCAGAGGAAGGATGCAACCACTAGTGCTACCCAGGTAGAATGCATATAAACCACAATAGTGGCCAACATGGAACAATAATCCTAAGGGTGCACAGTGGCATAAAGTGAACTTAAGACTTGCCCAACTAGACAGAACTTATGTCTGGTCCTAGAAATCTAGCCAGCTAGTTAGAGCGGGTGAAGTCATGGATCTTGGAGGTGAACCTGAAACTGCTACTTTACTAAACTAGCATAATCATGAACTACATTGTAAATGGTACTCTTATGCTCACAAATATCTGTACCTCCACACCTCATCAAGCAAGGAAGGTTCTCTTTGTAACAGAGACCACTATAGAAAACCACAACTGATCAAAATGTAGAGTTGTAGACACTAGTCCCAACAGACATCTACATCACAACTCCTGCACCTAAGGTTCAGGGATCTTTGCTGAAGAGGGGTCAAAAAGAACATGAGCCAAGGGAACAGGAGATTTGCTGTGTGATGGTTTCTCCCAGAATGTCTGAAGTTATACCTATGAGGTCTCACGAACATGAGTACCTGAACAAGACCTAATGAAGACGGCATCAACAGACATGTTAGCTTGGAAAGGGGGAAGCTCATGAGGCCTCAACCTAGACAAAGGAGTGAAGTGACTAAGGATTGCTGAGATCAGGAGCAATAGTCTTGCCTGGGAAAGAGACACCAATATACAGTTTGGTTATCTAATACCAAATGATCACCCCTAAAAACATACATACCATTATTTGATATTTGAACAGAACATATTCACGCGCGCGCGCGTGCGCACACGCGCGTGCGCACGGACACACACACACACACACACACACACACACACTTTGTTATGTATTTGAAAAAGGACAAAATGGTTGTGGAGGAACTGAAAGGAGTAAATGGAAGGGGAGAAATTATGTAATTATATAAATCTCAAAAACTAAAAGAAAAAAATGGAAAGAAGAAAGAAACTAACTTCTACTCAGCACAGTCGTGCATCACCCAGGGGTAAGAGCAAAATGAGGAAGGTGTGCCTCCTCCTCCCTGACCCCTTTTACTGTCTTAGTTTCTTTGTACTATAATTTACTTAACTCAATTGCAAAACCTTATGATTTCAATGCATAGTGACTACATGTGTTTGGATATCCCACGATTTTCATACCAAGTTCCTTTTCATGCAGTGGTCTATTTTTATATTTATGTCATTTCTCAGTTGATACTGACACACGGCAAATGCTTAACAGCACATTGTGGTCTATGGCTCTGGAATGGGCACCATGATCTTCATCAGGATTGAAAAACCCAGCAGGCACTCGGGTTCCTTCGGGGAAACAGATTAATGCTAAGTGCATTTGCTCTGAAGGCACCTGTCCTATAGCTTCTCCCTGACCTCAAAAGCTTCAGTGGCCACCTACAGGGCGCTGTCGCTCTCTCCTTCCCTGGATGCACTCACTTACCTGGCCACAGAGATTAGTATCTCTGCAACAGATGTGCCTGTAGGAATGACCAGGGCCCCCATCTTTTCTCTAGCCAGGACTTCAGGACCAAGTTCCTGCCTGTGGCACCTTGTGAGTAGAGCTGAGGCAGGATCTCTTGCTCCCTGGCTCCCCTCCTTAGCTCACAGTCAGATCTGTATTTGGCCCTCTACCGACCTCGGGGGATGTTCAAATACTTACGAATAAAGAGGAACCTTGCAGAGGAAAGGCCTGTTCTACTTAGCTGCAGCCAGGCTGTGATTCTCAATCCTCTAACGCGGAGAAGCATGCTCAGAGGCCAGGAGTGCTCTCTTGTGGCCCAGTGGCATCACCCCTTTCCTGCCATCATCTGACTGCTGCGCAAGTGCTACCAGTGAGATCTGTAAGGTTCCTTTTGGCGCCAAGAGCTGTAAGTTCCTCCCACTCTACTACGATCCCTTGGCGCGCTTTTCTGAAGCCCAGACGCTGTGGCAGACGTCCTCGGAGCCTGCTGTGACAGACAGCCTGTGAGTCCTAGTCAAACAGAAACCAGTGACAGCGCTATTTGGAGAGAACTCTTTGCTTGGGTGAGTTACTCTAAGAGTCAGGGCTGACTTAAATCTTGGGAGGATTTATTTGCGGTGGAATAATGCAGAAAAACCTCATTTAGACGGGCGTCAGGAAGGCAGAGCAATGCACCTGGATGCCATGGCTCCGGAAGATGGCACCGAGCTCGGAACCACTTGAATCCATCTGCAGTTCTTGGGTACTAAAAGAACACCAGGGCTCCATTCCCCATGGAGGGATATTTCCTTAGCCTAGAAACACGGGGGGGGGGGGGAAGGGGGGGAGGGCCTAGGTCCTACCCCAAAAGACTTGACAGACTTTGTGATCCCTCATTGAAGGCCTCACCCTCCCTGAGGAGTGGATGGGGGATGGGATGAGGGGGTCTGTGGAGGGGCATGGAAGGATGGGAGGGAGAGGCAACTGGGATCAATATGTAAAATAAGAAAAAACAAATTAAAAAACGTTCTGAAAAAAAAAAAATAAAAGGAACACCAGGGCTCAAGGAAGTACACATTCTGATGGTAAAACCTGGCATCTGTAAACAAGGTGACTCACTTTAAGAAATACCCCTAAAATTAATTTCTCAGGGTCTTAATGTGTGTGTAGCAAATATCTGCAAATATATTTTCTTGAGTGGGTCTCTGTCTTGAATAAGGATACAAGGTGTGACAAAGGCCGATCTCGTTCTTAGACATGCTCAGTTTGCAAAGTAATTGCCAATGGTTCTTGCATAGCAGGCTACTACAATAACCTGACTTACTCTCCTGCTCTTTAAATCACCATTAATGCTGAGGAGTGTTCTGCGGGGAGGGAGGGGGACTTACGAAGTTGCAAATGTAATTATCATTTATTCCACTAGTATCCAATCACTCTTCATAGAAGATGTCAAAGAACAATTTATATCACAAGTTTTTAATCCTGGCCTCTAAATTCTAGGTTTGGTATAGACATCAATCCAGATCTGTTGCCCAGTCCTAACCAACCACCCCATCCACCCTCCCCAATTAAAGCCTGAGTTAAACAAGACCTCAAAGTCCCATAGTACTACACTCTGTCTCAGCCTAACCATGTTCTCTCTCAGTACTTCTAGGACTGTATGAAGTTCTTGTTCTCATTCCCCCAAGAGCAGTAACCCCAGGTTTGTGTGTACAAAGTCAACATCCACAGTACCTGTGAGTACTGTAGTGAAGTCAACCTTGCCTCGGTTCCAGAGACAAGAAAGTAGATGTTATATTAATCACTTTGCTTCTGCTTTGTTTTGTGGATATTTTTATTTCTACTGGTAAAGAGCATTTTAGGAATATGTGTGGTTATATAATCAGTTGTTGAAAAGCTTTTAGGTTTGGCCTCCCCAAAATCTACCTGTAAGCAGCAATATCCTTGAGTAAAACAAGGACACAGAGAGCAGAAGTCGGCTCTTGGGAATCTGATACTCAGGCTGGCTGTGTGTGCTTCGTTTTCTTCATATGGGCACTTAGTGCAATGAACTTTCCTCCTAGCACTGCTTTCAAGGTATCCCATAAGTTTAATCTCGTTTAATTCTAGGAAATCTTTCATTTCTTTCTTTATTCCTTCCTTGACCCAGGAATGGTGCAATTGTACATTGTTCACTTTCCATGAGTTTGTAGGGTTTCTGCAATTTTTGTTGTTGTTGAATTCCAACTTTAAAGCATGGTGGTCTGATAAGATACAGGGAACTATTTCCATTTTTCTTTTCTTTCTTCCTTTCTGCTGAGGTTTGTTATGTTGCCTAGTATGAGGTCCATTTTAGAAAAGGTTCCATGTGGAGCTGAGAAGAAGATATATTCTTTTGTGTTTTGGTGGAATAGTCTATAGATGTCTATTAAACCCAATTTGGACATAACTTCTGTTAGTTCTTTGTTTCTTTGTTAAGTCTCTGTCTGGTGGTCCTGTCTAGTGGTGAGAGTGGGTTGTTGAAGTCTCCCACTATGAGTGTGTGAGGTTTTATGTGAGCTTTGAGTTTTAGTAAGGTTTCTTTTACGAATGTGGGTGTCTTTGTATTTGTGGCATAGATTTTCAGAACTGAGACTTTGTACTGATGGACTTCTCCTGTGATGAATATGAAATGACCATCTTCATCTTTTTTGATTGATTTTAGTTTGAAGTCTAACTTGTTAGATATTAGGATAGCTACACAAGCTTGCTTCTTGGGTCCATTTGATTTGGAAGATCTTTTCCAAACCATTTACCCTAAGGTAATGTCTGTCTTTGAAGCTTAGATGTGTTTCCTGTATACAGCAGAAGGATGGATTCTGTCTTCATATCCATTCCATTAGCCTGTGTTTTTTTCTAGGAGAGTTAAGATCATAAATGTTGAGGGAAAGTAAGGACCATTGATTGTTAATTCTTGTTTGTTTTAGATTTGTTGTTGGCCATGGTATTGTGAGTATATTTGCCCCACTTTTTCTTTTGGGTTCTGGTAAAGTGGGATTATCTATTACCTATGTCTTTGTGGGTATAGTTAACTTCCTTGGGTTGGAGTTTTCCTCTCTGAACTTTCTGTAGGGCTGGATTTGTGGATATGTGTTGTGAAAGTCTGGCTTTGTCATTGAATATTTTGTTTTCTCCATCTATAGTGATTGAAAGTTTTGCTGGGTATAGTAACCTGGGCTGACATCCTTGAGCTCTTAGTATTTATAGAACTTCTATCCAAGACCTTCTGGTCTTGAGAGTTTCCATGAAGAAGTCAGGTGTAATTTTGATAGGTCTGCCTTTATATGTTACCTGGCCTTTTTCCTTCACTTCCCTTAATATTATTTCTTTATTCTGTATGTTAGGTGTTTTGATTATTATTTATCGAGGGAACTTTTCTTTTTTCTTGGTCCAGTCTATTTGGTATTAGGTATGCTTCTTGTACTTTCATAGGCATGTCTTTCTTTAGATTGGAAAGGTTTTCTTCAATGATTTTGTTGAATATGTTTTTCTGCACCTTTGAGCTAGGCTTCTATGCCTATTATTTTTAGGTTTGGCCTTTCCACAATGTCCCACATTTCCCAGATGTTTTGTGTTAGGGATTTGTTGGATTTTCGATTTTCTTTGGTCGATGAATCTATTTCCTCTAGTTTATCTTCAGCGCCTGAGATTATTCGATCTCTTGTATTCTGTTGGTTATGCTTCATCTGTAGTGCCTGATCATTTACCCAGTTTTTGTATTTCTAGCATTCCCTCAGTTTGTGTTTTCTTTATTGTCTCTATTTCAGTTTTCAGGTATTGAACTGTTTGAATTGTTTCCTTCATCTGTTTGATGTTTTTTTTTTCCCCTTGGCTTTCCTTACTTTCTTTAAGATATTTGTTCATTTCTTGCATTTTTTTTTTTTTGCTTAGTCTTTTCCTCTATTTTTTCCAATTTTCGTTTGTTTTTTCTTCCATTTCTTTAAGGGATCTTCTCATATCATCTTTGAGGGCCTCTATCATTTTTATGAATTTATTTTTTATGTCATTCTCTTCTGCTTCATCTGCTTTGGTGTGTTCAGATCTATTTGGTGTAGAGTCCATAGATTCTGGTGGGGTCATACTGGTCTTTCTATTGTTGGGTGTTTTCTTGTATTGTCGTCTTCCCATTGCTTCTTCCAGTGGGTGCAGGTGGAGTCTCTCTCTTTCTCTCTACCCTGCTCTCCCAGTGGGTGTAGGTGGGTCAGGAGTTCAATGTAACTCTGGATGATCCAAGTTCTCTTGGAAGTCTCTCCTTTGGCAGAAGGCAGGCAATGGGGTCCAAAGATCAGGTGAGTGCAGCCTCAAGGTGGTAGTGCATGGATAAGTAGGTCCAGTGTGCTCAGAGCAGATGCAGGAAGTTCCATGGAGGTGGAGGGGTTGTTGGACCCACACTCTGGTCCAATGCTCACCCTGAGCAGCAGTCCCAGCAGGACAAAAGCTAGAGGCAATTTCTATTAAGATTTTGATATTTTGGTATAATGCCTGACATATAGCGAGTTGCTTTTACTATTTGGCTCATTATGCTTGGTGGATAAACTACCTCATGCTAACACCATCCTGAAGCATGAAAGCCAAAGAAGAAAGATATGATTTGGGACTTCAGGCACTTTTTCCCTAGATACACCATGTGATGGCTGGGAAGATACTACTGTAATAAGAACTTTTTTGAAATTACTGTTTCAGTTGGAGCATCTGTTACATCTCCTAGCCACCATGAGCTGCAGCAAGCACAGCTCACAGAAGGTCCATCCTGATTTAAGAGAAACCTTGAAAATCAAGTACCATCCAGTTCAGGTATGTCTGTAAACAATTGTGTACTTTGTGGGATGTCTTCATACTAGAATATAGCATTCTAGCTCCCAGGCCAGATAATCCTCCTGCTAAGACAAGGACTCATTAGTATTGGGAATATTACGTGCATTGAAATGTGTGAGACTGGAAGATTGCATCTGATTCCCTAGAGCTGGAGTTACAGACAGTTGTGAGCTGCTATATGGGTTCTGGTGACCAAACCTGGGTCCCCTGTTACAGCAGTAGGAATTCTTAACCACCGAGCTGACACTTCAATCCTTAAAACAAATTTTTTTTTGCAAGGTCATATCCAAAGTGTTAGATTAAACTGTAGAAATAACAAAATTAATAGTACTTTAATAACATGGAAATCCTACCCTGAGTGTGGCTAATCTTCTGAAAGTGTTTTGCAGTTTACAAATATGATTTTCTGTACATGTGTTCCTACCCTTACCTCATTAAGTGGATGCAGGGGATTCTACCTCTAATTTGTTTATGGCAATAAATAGAGCCTGAGGCAAAATAGAGCCTTGGACAAGGTTGCTCACCTGAAGTCAAAGCTCTGCAAGCTCTGCTGACATGGCAGATTCTGTTTCTCTTCTTATTCTAAAGCACTTCTTGAATCGATAGTAAGAAACTGAGACTGCCAGTCCTTAGGCTTGTTTCCTCTTGTCCAAGTTCTAGAAAGGTTGATGATTCAAACAGCTAGAAAATCTATGAGGGTTTTGTTTCTAGGTCAGTTTGTTTTCTCTATTCTACTCCGTGACAGAGCAAGTTAGGAACAGCACATACGACCTGTCTATCCCTTTCAAAAATGTCAAGCAGGCAAGGTTCCTCACACCTATAATCTCAGGTCAAGGCAGAGGATTGCAAGTTCCATGCCAGCCTGGGTTACAGTGTCTCAAATGCACAACACAAACAACAACAACAACTAAAAAGTGTCTATGTTTGTCCAAGAAACCTAGGTAGATGGAAGTCTGCTACAGCATCCCTGCAAGGCAGTGTACAGATACTTCTGACAGCATTTAGACTGAAGAGGTGGTTTCTGAGATTTTCTATGCATGCCTACAGGACATTTATATTACCTGGCATTGTTTAAAGCAGAATAACAGTTATAGAAAATGATGGCAGGCTTAATAATTACTGTATTCCACCACTGTCCCTGCTATTACCAGTGAGTATACTGCTGGCATGTGAACCATTACCAAGATAAATATGATGTAGGAACATGGGGTAAAAGGCTTTTATTTTTGTTCACTTTTGCTATTCAATTATCAACCTTGGTTCTCCCTTCCTTCTTCTTCCCTGAATCTTAAGATAGTAGTCTATAAATATGGGAGATATGGGTGCAAAGTTTACAAATACCATGAGTAGTCTAATGGGAAAAGACATCAAAGCATTTGTAATTCAGATTGGTTATTATGGGACATTAGGAAAAGCACTTAGAAGGTAAATTTCTGATCCTCAATTTCTCCATCAAAAAGAGAGGCCATACATGGGATTTGTGAACTTATGTAATAAAGGAAATACATCGAGCTCTTTGCATAGTAGTTAGTTGTGGATGAATCAATGTATGGATTTTTCATGAGGAAGTAATTAACTTAAGTAATGATCAACTGGTTTAGATTTCACTCCTGGCTAAAAAAATAAATCATAAAATAGCACTTGGAGAGGTGGCTCAGTATGTAAAGCTTTGGCAACAGAAGTGTGTGGGACAGTTTGGATCCCCAGGACACGGGCATGGTAGCCCAACTCTAATACCAGTACAGGAGAGGAAGGATAAGGAATTCCTGAAGAATACTGGCTAGCTAGATTGTCTTAATAAGAAAATTCTGTTTTGAAGAGACTCTGACTCAATATATAAAGATAGAATGTTCAAAGAAGATACCCAACTTTAGCCTTTTACTCCATATGCTGTGGAAACATGTGCACATACACATAGGAATACCCACAAAAAATATACTCTCAAACTCCACAAACAGATGCATACACAAAGAAAATGAAATTGAAAATAAAATAATAAATCACACTAACATATCCCTGCTAATTTTTTTTAATGACTTCACTAAAGGTGGGCATGGTAGTACATTCCTGGCTTCTTGAACACAGCAGAGGAATGAAAATCATGAGTTTGTAGCCAGCCTGGGTTAGATATTTTATTCCAGAGTGGTCTAAACTACAGCATGAAATCTGGTCTCAGAGAAACTACGATAGGTGGCTCAAGAGATGGCTTGCTGTTTAAAAGAATGTTCTGCCTTTAAGGAGAACTAGAGCTCATTGACCAGCACTGACATCATGAAGCTAGAACTGGTTGCCAGTCTAGCTCCAGGGGACATGATGACCTCTTCTGATCTCTGCTTGCACTGCATTAACATGCACAAGCCCACATAGTTACACTTACATACACACATAATTAAAAATACAAAGAAAAACTCTTACAAAAGCAAAAATGAACAAATTCCAATTTAGATACCATTGCTTGCTATAGTTGGCAAAGATAAAAGCTGCATTGATGAAAATAAAATAAAATACTTGAAAAGGGTTTTATGGAAGCTGATAGACAGTTAAACATCTGGGGAACAATTGTGTTTCTTACTGTCCATTTGTTTGAGAAAGGAGCCATGTGCAATAGGAAGAGATTATCTGATGGATAACCTAGAGAGGCTAGGCTTAAATTTTGGATCTTGGGTTAGATCCTGATTTAAACATATTAATTGATTCTTTAAATTACATACAAGGAACTAAGGATTAGAGTTGGAATCCAAATCTTAAAGTATCTATCATTTCTTTTTTAGGTCCCTCAAAAAGAGCAGAATGATCCCAAGAAGTTGCAAATGAAAATGAGTTCCCAAAAAAGATCAAATGAGATACCTAACACCCAAGAGCAAGGACTCTGTTCTAAGAAAACTCGACGAGATCTGACTACTCCCCTAACTAAGATAATCAACATCACCTTGGGGGGAAACCCAAAGACATATATGTACCACTTCATCCAGGAGAGGACATGTAGCATATATGAAGCTCTGAACACCCTTGACCCTGTCAAAAGAGAGATAAAAAGACAGCAAGGCAAAGAAATGCTGGTGTGTGGCATAAAAGGAATAGAAGGCTACATAAACCTTGGCATGCCCCTCCGTTGTTTTCCAGAAGACAGCCATGTGCTCATTACATTTTCCAAAACTGAAAGTGAGGAGAAAGAAAATAATTATCGCTTTGACTACTCACCTGCTGAGTGTGTTATATTTTACATACATGCAGTTGGGAATAGGGAACAAAGGATTCTGAGTGGCAGGGAACTTCACCAGGAGGGGACCAAACTCTGTGTCTATGGCTTCAAAGGAGAGACCATCAAGGCCACTCTGAGGAAGGATGGCAGGTTTGATTCCTTTGTAGAGCATGCCCATTGGAAACTCATTAACCATGACACCATCATAGAAAACACCCAGCCAGTTGATGTGTTACAGGGCAAGCTCTTTCAGATTGATGTCGAGAGAAAGGAGAGCCCTTGGGTGGCTACGGCAACTCAGAAATCTGAGATGGAGGACAGAAACTTGGAGATAAAAGGATACATTGTGAATTTGTACCCCACATTGAAAGGAGAACGAGAGAAAATAGAATCACTTATCAAGGAAGAAAGTGAAAATAGTAAAGAACAGTCTCTTTTCGAAACCCATAAGAGAAAGTTCGGGGACCTGACAAAAAATTCTACTCCAGGGACAACCAACAAACTTCTTTCACAATTCCTTGATTCCATTGGGCTCCTAATTTGGGACAATAATGGAAACCGAGGTAGTGCCACTTGCTTTGTTTTTAGAGGGTTGTACATTTTCATTTGTAGGCATGTGTTAAATGACATTGTGGGAGAAGGAAAGGAGCCACTTGAATGCATAGACCTAATTAGCCGATGTGTAAGAGTGACATTTGATGATGATTGTAAAGAGCCAAACTCAAACTTCAACAGTTATTTTTGCATTGAACCTTCGTTTGTCATATCTGATGTAACTCTTGACTATGCTGTCCTGAAACTGAAGGAAAATGATCAACAAGTGCCTGTTGGGCTGTATAATGGAATAGCTATTACAGTTCGTGATGAATTGGTATTTATGATTGGCTATGAAAATGGACAAAGGGTTATTGACCGTTGTACAGTGATCCCTCAAGGTAAACTAGAAGAGAAAAATCAACAATGTGTTCATGGAACAGAAGCAGCAAGTCATAACCATTCTTTGAAGTCCCTCCCTATGTACACGAAGAGAAGTTTCCAAGAGATTGACAACTCTAATGACTTTACCTATAATATTTTTTATTGCAGCTCTTCTGGATCTCCAGTATTTGATTGTAAAGGTTCTCTGCTGGCCATGCACACTGCTGGCTTCAGTTTTGAACATGAAAGTGGAGTTTATAATATCATTGAGTTTGGCACAAGGATGGAGTCCATCCTTGAGGATATTAAACAAAAACATAAAGAATGGTATAATGAAGTTTGTGTAAATCAGCAGGATGTAGAAATGAACAGTGATGAAGCTGATATAAATGAACAAGATGTAAAAATGGACAGTGAATCCTATATAAATCAGCAGGATATAGAAATGCCTAGTGTAGACATTTAAGGATGGGGAGAATTTGTTCTGGCTTTGAAAGCATCCATTTTAATGGGTAAAGATGACTGAGAACATGGCTTACTGGTTGAGCGCTTGTCTAGCATGCACAGCATTCTGGGATTAGTCCCCAGTGAAAAATGGATATTAGCACTCCAATCAATTTCCAAAATTGTTGTTCCCACTGGCTTTTTAAAACTGGCTCCCCCATGGGAGGCCTCACCCTCCCTGAGGAGTGATGGGGGCAGTGGGATGTGAGGCAGTGGGAGGATGGGAGGGAGAGGGAACTAGGATTGGTATGTAAATTAAGGTTGTTTTTAATTTAAATAAAAATTAATTTTAAAAAAAGTAAAACCTGTCCCCTGTGGTGGGATGCCTTGTTCAACCTTGATGCAGGGAGAAGGAGCTTGGTCCTGCTCAGCTTGATGTGCCATGCTTTGTTGATGCCCATGAAAGGATTACCCCAACTAAGTGGAGACTAAGGAGTGGATGGGGGTTGGGGGAGGAGTGGGAAGAAGGAGGGAGGGGAAACTGGTTGAAATGCACAATAAAATAAATGATGAAAAAAAAAAAAACAAAAAACTTTGAAGCCATCTCAAGCCTTACTTAAAGGTTCATGCACACTCTTATAGAAACTGGGATTTCCTTTTCTAAATTCAGTTTGCTCTTTGTTCATAACTGGCAGAGTGATTTATGATTGCTAACAAGATTTCAAAAACCTTTGACAATCTGAGTTTCTTTCCTTTCTTTCCACTGGTAGCATCTCCTGTCAGCAGAAGGAGAATGTTCCAGGGTGTCTGCATTTTGATGGGGCTTAGCAATCACTAAGCTTCCTTGGGTAACTATGAAGAATAGTCTACTCTGTCTCTGTCTCTACTCATGATGTTCAGTGTCTAAAACACCAATACCTGAATCTCAGGGCAACCAGTTCTGTCTGCTTGTTCAACCTTGATGCCATGGGAGAAGCTTGGTCCTGCTTCAACTTGGAATACCATGCTTTGTTGATTCCCATGGGAGGCCTTACCCCATCTGAATGGAGAAGGAGGAGTGGATTAGGGTGGTAGTAGGGAAGTGGGGGTGGGACTGTGGTTGGATGCAAAATAAATTTTTTAAATGTTGAAAAAAATTACATTTGTTCATGCAAGAAGGCATGAGGTTCACGTACGTACAGCTAGCAGTAGAGAAAAGAGAATTGTTAAACACATAGGCTTTCTTCTTCAACAAAAGAAATTACACCTGTTCACCCTGAAGGCAGGAGTAGATATTGTTTGATAACTTGGTGATCATCTGTCTTGTAGAAGCATGATGGGAAAGTTTGCCCTATGGTCATAAGAGACAGAAAGCCAATCCTATTAGTGCAGGTGTGGGTAAGCCAGTCCTGAAGTTGTGAATATGGGAGAGCTGTCCCCGTTTCCCATCTGACAGATCAAACCTACAGTTACCCAGGCACAGACCCACCAGGGTTACAACATCCACCTTATCTATGATCTCCTGGAGCACATTAAGGAACCTGACCCACAGACCCAAAGCTGCAGGATCTCCACAACACAAGGCAACAATAGGATATCCAAGAAAAGTACTAGTGAGTGTCCAGTATCAATAGTGTGGTAGAAACCAGAAACCTCAAACCAGACCAATGACTCTCTGCAAGAACACTTGCAAATAAAGATTCTGGACAAAGGGGTCTAAAGCATGAGTACAGCTTCCATGACAAAATTTTCTCTCTCTCTCTCTTTCTCTTTTTTTTTTAGGGAGGAACACAGGGTTGGAAGTCAGATGCAAAGGGTTAGGGAAACTGATATAAAATGCCCAGAGATAAAATAGTGTGTGGAAATCACATTGTTGGTGTGATGAACATGATTTTTTTCTTTAAGAAAAGGCCTCTTAGACATATAAAAATATCTTAGGAACCCCACTACACCCAAAGCTGTACCTGATAGCCAGAGTCCAGTGACATCATTTGCTCAAGATAACCAAACACACTACTAGAACTCTACAGCACCCACTGGACAGTATTTAAGCAGAGACCAAGAGCAATGCTCTACTCTTCACGTCTTTAGGGCTGTTGAAGATACTAGAAAGGTGCCATCTTGATCTTCCTTACAGATGGAGAGCCTTCTCTAGGATCCTGACCTTCAAATAAAAGCCTACTGTTAGAGACTGTACCTGACCTTGAGCTAAGATTCATTACTGAGCAGCCTTGGGGAGATTGACTTAGGTCCATAGTTAGGAACTTAGCATGTAAACCTTATGTGATGTGATGACCCTCAGCATAATAAAATATAACTTTTACTATACCAACTACATGTCCCTGCCTTCTTGTTTGCAATTGTTGGTGACCTCCTATATGGTGTGTGTGTGTGTGTGTGTGTGTGTGTGTGTGTGTGTGTGTGTGTAGTTTAAAAAAGGAAGGTCAATTCTCTTATACAGACTTACAATCTTCTTTCCTATAGAAACTCTAATCTATACAAGATACTAGATTTTTTTCAATCAGGCTGTGCCACAGTCTTCAGATCTAGGACAAGGTGGCTGAAAACCTCCGGGGAAGAGGAAGATGTGTATCAGCAGAGTTCACCTCTTCTTCCCCTTCCCCTTTTCTTGCTATTATTAACTTTTAATAGTGTGTTTTAATAATTCAGTTTCAAAATGTTAGCATTTCAGCATGCAATAAACGTGCATTCTACGGAGATGTTTTGTGCATTTCTTACTAAGTGCCCTGAAATACAACATAGTATTTTAAATTCTCAACACGAGTGAGTTTCTCCCTCAGTTCTGGGGAGAATGTGAAGTTTGGGTTGGATTTGTTGACTGTAGAATGAAATGAAAGGGATGGTTAAGCACTTTAGAAAGACCCTTGCCTTGGTGAATGAGGCTTTATTAGCATGCTCTTCTTGCAAGGGGGAGGGGTGTTGTCAAAGAACAGAGCTTAAATGAACCTAAGTTCCTCTTCAGTAGTATGCAAGAGAAACACACTGCAGTCTAAAAACTGAAAAACAAAAACAAAAAACAAAAACCCACCCCCTCCAAAAACAAAACAGCAAAAGCAAAACAAAAAAACACCAGTTTTTGTAAAATTATGGCTCATTTTATGAAAATACCTCCTCAGAGTCAATTATGTTTCCTTGGCTGTGCTTCTTTGGAGAACAAGGATAAATCGAGTTAGTGACAAAAACTCACTTCTTAAACATGCCTAACATTCTGGGGAGAGGAAGGCATCTATACTCACTTAGGCTATTTCTGTCAACATAAATGTTCTGCCAGGGCCTGCAAAACTGCAAACATCTCCAGTTATTCCTGTGGTTTCCTTAAGTATCTAGCTGTTCTTTATTAGAAAACCACAAAGAACAGTTTAAAATAAGGTTCCCAGCCTGGTGATGGTGGTCCATGCCTTTAATACCCTCCCTAATAGGCAGAGGCAGGTGGAGTTCGAGGCCAGCCTGGTCTACAGAGGGAGTTCCAGGACAGTCAGGGCTACACAGAGAAGAAAGAATTCCTTGACTTCTGGTCTCAAAATCCTCCTTTGCCACTCTGCTGGCCTGTCCTCACCAGCCCTCTGCACTGAAGATTGAACTTGAGCCAGACTGAAATCCCCAAATGCTGCTCTCCCTGGTCAGCCTTGCTCTTCTCCCTCAGCACTGTCAGGGTTCTGTGAAGTGATCGTTTTCATTACTTCAACTGCAGTGCAGTTATCTAGTTACCCCCGTTTCAGCAACTGCTTTCTGGGAGCCCACATTTTACTTCTGCAGCCATCATCGGCCTTCAGTGACAACCAGTGTGCTCCTCTGAAGTTCCTTCCGCATCCTCTTCAAGTCTTTGCCCCAAGGGAGAAAGAAAAATCTTCATTCAATTTGTGTGCATGTGTGCGGGCATGCCAGCTTCACAAGTACTATATTGGATCTGCTGAAACTAGAGTTACACATGGTCATTAGCCACCATGTAAGTGCTGGGAATCAAAACAGTTCCTCTGCATCTTGGGTATGGTGTGGGCTCTTTAAATCTCATGTTTTTCTCTCTTCATTGTATTTCCTTTTTACCTGTGTTTATAGTAGCCATCATTAACAGAGGGGGAAACCCCAAGATGTTTTTCTAGTTAAGTAATAAATTGCTGCCTTCAGCAATTTTAAAACACAATGCAATTGCTTGGTTACTTATTCAGATTCTCTTCAGGCCAATAACTCTCTCTGTGATTAAGTACTGATATTGATGACAGCACTAACAGAAATGGTCACTGAGCAGTCTATCCCATGTGGACATTGTCTCCCAACATTAACCCCCCACACATGACTTCCACTATTCGGTGAAATTATGTTATATTAATATGCGACATGTCTGTAGCTACCCTAGATCTACCTATGTAATATTTGGAGAAGCAAAGCTTCAATACTCGAAAGACTTGCTTTCCTTCCTACTGCAAAGCAATAAAGAGACACATTCTATTCAAGGTTTCATGCCACCCCACTGACAGTTTCTCTGCAATGTTTTATCCCCTCCTGTTGCATGAATAATAAAAACACAGAGACAGACAATGGGGTTCAAGCTGAAGATCAGAAAAGCAAAGTAGCCAGTCAGTAGTTCTCACCTCTACCAAGGTTAAAATGGAAATCTTGTCATCTGTGTGTCTGGAAATTGAATCTCACATGAGACTCTGCTTCTTCCTTATATACCTCCCAAGTGATGGATTAAAGGTGTGAGCTCTGTTACTCGTTTAGATGGATCCACTCTCATGTAGCCCTGGGTGGCCTTGAACTCACAGAGATCCATCTGCCTCAGTCTTCTGAGTCCTGGGATTAAAGGTGTGTAGCACCACTGCCCAGCTCCTATGGCTAGCTAGTGTGGCTAGCTTTGCATTCTGATCTTCAGACAAGCTTTATTAAATCATAAACAGTATATCAGCACACCCTCCCCTGGTTACTTCTCTCCCACCACCCCACTCCCTACCTGCTTTTCCTGTCCCCCTCCTTATTTCTTCCTCTCTCTCCCTTACAGTTGTTGCTCCCTCTGTCTCATGACTTCCTGTTTTTTTAATGCCTATGTTCTCTTTAACTTTCAGTTTTGTTCAGTTAGGTTTTCCTAAGAGCCACCAATCACAGTTGATCTAAACCTTGCCTTATCTACCACAGGCTCCCTCCAGCACACAGTGGAACAAGAGTCCACTGAAAATATGCCTGTGCCCTGTGGGTTCTTCAGACATGTGGCATATCCAGCTCTGCCATGCAGGGCCTCCAACTCCATCCTCTTCCAGCCACA